ACAATCTTCATCCATTCCTGAAGCTGGGGAGAGGGCCACCTTCCTGAGCAAAGAACTACAGTGGATGAACATCCAAATAAAATTGGGGTTTTGGCAGCAATATAAAATATGAGAGGGGAGAGGTATTGGGTAGATAATCAACAGTGTTTATCCCACTAATAGATATATTCATTTTCTGTAAAGGAGTGTGTGTGTGTGTGTGTGTGTGTGTGTGTGTGTGTGTGTGTGTGTAGAAAATATCAAGAATGATACATATCAATCTGTTAATGGGATTTAAATTTTGACATGGAACTCTCAGGTGGAATAAATGGATATTTTAACTTTTTACTTATAATATTTTTATTAGTTTATATTACTTTGGTAATTTAAATTTTAGATGACTAATTCAATATGAAAATGGACTGCTCAGAAACAGAGCTAGGATGTGAAAAAATAAATAGAGAAGCACATGTTGGTATTCCATTCCCAGTCCTGATCTGTACTACAGTCGCTCAGGTGCCAGTGGCAGGTTTATTCCTACTGGGGATGTGGAGGCACAAAGCTAGCTATCAGAGCCTGATGCTATCAAATATTTAAACTATCCAACTCCCTCCCCTCACACTCTCAAAGCTGCCTTCACATCATAAATTGGTTTTCTGTGCACATTTTCCTACAGGGAAAGAATGTGCTGGACAAGGCAATGTGAGCATTCTGGCCCCCTTGGCAGTTCCATTTCTCATCATAAGTTAATACACAGGTTCTTTGGCACAGACAGCAGGATAGGAGCTGAGTTAATATGATCTACTTCCCAATCCCCCAATATATAGGTTCTTTCTTAATGCTGTTAAATTAAAGTCAAGTTTATAAGCCTGGACCATGATGAATTTCACCAAGGTAAATGTCACCTTTGAAGTCACTTGGCAGCTGTCCAGCCAGCCTGCCCTGATGACACTCCTGTCTCTTCAAGCACATGTCTTTCAGACTCCTGTGTCTTCTAGCTACATTTATCTCAACCAGCTGTCTCTTTCTTTATCCCTCACTCTGTCTTTTCCTCTATGACTCTCTCTAATTATATGTCTGTCTCTTTCTAATTCATCTTATCACTAAGCCTTTCTTTTCTTTTTTTGTTTTCACCTTAATTGACCATGGATTTGGATGATAATATGTACCACAGCTATGTGTCAAGCACTGTGCAGGGCCATATATAAAAATTATATTTTGACCTAACACTAACTCTGAAAAGCATTTTTATTTCTATTTTAAAGAGGAGGAAGTGGCGGCTCATGAAGGCTAAGTAGTTATGTTTCACAATTTTAAAGATTTTTCTCTGCTTAATTTTCAAAGTTAGCAAGTTAAATGCTTTAGGTTTCCTTTATCTAAGAAAAGTACAGTTTAAATGCTTGCTTATAACCACCATCTTTTTGCTTGTGAGTCTATTGTCCCAGAAAAGAACCAATCTTGGACATGTTTATTTCTTAGATTAGAGAAAGAGAGATGAAATGAATGAGGAAAGAGACAAATTGAAGATTTCCCTTTGAGCAATAAAGCTTCCCATTGCTCTTTCCCACTCCCTATCCTCTTTCCTGAGAGTAAGTGTTGGCCCTGATTTCTCTGACACAATCTTAGCCTTCTCCATGAAGAATATGACCTTCCCTGTCCATCCAGGCTGACTGTACTTTCTGTATCCATGCAAAAGGAGGAGATAAAAATTTCGGTCCCTAGATTTGTAACTTACACTAACTTGAATATGGAGGTTGTGGTAAAGTTGGATCTGCTCTCTGGAAAAACACTTTTCATTATTTTGTGTATTGAATTAACACCCCAATAGGTGTTCTCACCATGACCCTAGAAGATGGTGAGGTCAAGGTAGAGAGAAGCATACTTTCCATCCTGTTTCAGTAGAAGTCTGGGAGGAGCAAAAGAGAAAACATGACGTTTCTGGGTGGATTCTAGGCCCCTTCACTTTACATCAGGAAGTGAAGGCTGTTCAGCTCCTGGAGTCACACACTTGGCTATAGAAGCTGGAGAAATAGGCAGCGAGCCCTGGGTCGACGATCAGAGTGAGGCAACAGTGAAGTCCCAGGTCCTGCTGAACATAGAGGGTCCAGGCTCTGATGGACTCAGCACCACGGACAGAAAACAGGCCGAAGCTTGCTGGAGAGCTGAGGGTTCAGCACCACGAACAGAGACCACCTTCTTAACCCCCATCCCCAGCCCGCGTCGCTCTTACAGGGAGGGATCCAGCCCAGGCCATTGGTTGACTGGCCCCAGCACTTAAAGGTCATGATAAACGAAGGCTTAGTTTGCTTCTAAGGCCTTCCAGAATTTCTTCACTGAGCTGACTATTCTGCAGCCTCCTGGTAGAATGGGTTCCACCTTTGGAACAACTGTTATTAAGATCCAGCTGATTTGCATATATCTGCATTCATTGGGGCTTCCCCCTTCTGGTTTTGATATAAATGAATTGTTCAGAGGAGGAAAGAGAAGGATTATTTCATTCCTTTTCTTCCTCGTTTTTCCCTTATTCCTAGGGTCCAGTCTGGCAGTTTCTCCCAGGTGCCTGCAGGTGTGTGTGGTGGGAGAGGGTAAGACTCCTGACAGCCAAGAGATTATCAGGGCATCGTATGTAGTTTTCCCCAGACAATCTTCCTCATCTGTTTGGCTTCTGAAAGATCCTTGCGAGGCTCAGAGGGAGTCTGTATTTTGTTTTAGCACCTAGGGTCAGAACCTGTGGGCTTAAGTCCCTGGTGCTCGGCAAGAAGCCATGACTGGAGCCTTAGAGACTGCTAAGGGGATGGGACCCGGTTTTGGAGAGAGGAGTGAGGGGTGGTGGAGCGAGGACTCATTTTGAGGTGAAAGGAGTCCTAGGTCTCTAAGCAGCTTCTAAAANTTTCCCTTATTCCTAGGGTCCAGTCTGGCAGTTTCTCCCAGGTGCCTGCAGGTGTGTGTGGTGGGAGAGGGTAAGACTCCTGACAGCCAAGAGATTATCAGGGCATCGTATGTAGTTTTCCCCAGACAATCTTCCTCATCTGTTTGGCTTCTGAAAGATCCTTGCGAGGCTCAGAGGGAGTCTGTATTTTGTTTTAGCACCTAGGGTCAGAACCTCTGGGCTTAAGTCCCTGGTGCTCGGCAAGAAGCCATGACTGGAGCCTTAGAGACTGCTAAGGGGATGGGACCCGGTTTTGGAGAGAGGAGTGAGGGGTGGTGGAGCGAGGACTCATTTTGAAGTGAAAGGAGTCCTAGGTCTCTAAGCAGCTTCTAAAAATACCATCTCCCAGCGCTGGGGGAGGGGGAGGGGAAATCGAACGTGAGAAGAATAAAGATGGGAAGGAGTTTGGGGTATAAGAATCCTTCTTCAGGTAGATCTGATTTCAGAGTCCCTGCCTGCATCCAAGAACCAGACAGACGCCACACCTCCTTCTGCTTCCTCAGCCAGTTTCAGTCTCCTGGGGTCCAAGCTCCAGCCCCTCCCAATGGTCTTTCTTTCTAAGGGCAAAGGAGACCAATTCCTCCCACCTATTCCTCTTATTGCTACTGTCCAGCAAGTATGTCTGTGAGTGAGCAAGTGTGTGTACACATCACACACACACACACACAGAAATGACACATGAAAAGGGCTTGTAAATGGCCAGTGGTCTATGATGCTAGGAATTCTCATTACACCCGATGCTCAGAGAGGTGTGGACCGTGGCAGAGATGGCGTGATTCACCGAGGTATCCTCAGCACAGAGCATGGCGCTGACTTGAGTGCGGGTTAATATTGGTTGGACGGGTGAGGCACACATACATGCAAAATGCACAGACAGACCACACAGGCGAAGTAGACAGAGGACTTAGTCTCAAGGCTGCTGTGGCTATGATAGCTTCTAAAGGAAGAGGGGGTGGGTCCCCCAAGAAAGGAGGTCTGAAAAGCTACAAGGTGGGTAGAGCTTTCTTGGCTCAAGTTCAGCCCAGATGGTGGCGCTCAATAACCACCTCCCTCGTCCTGGTGGGCCCCAGCCCTTCCCACTACCAAAGTGTTAAATCCTCGGCTTGCACATAAATGACCTTCACTAGATAGAGGTCGTGTTCCACGTTTTCTTGCGGCTTCTTCAGCGCCGGCTGAGCTCTGCGAGGATTGCTCTGCCTCTCTTGCAGATGCCTCGGATTCCCGACCACTCTGCTCTTCATCAGTTTCCTGGGGTGGGTGGAGTGGGGTAATCAAAGACGGGAACCCCAGACTCTGAGCAGAATGCGGAAGGGCTGGTTGTGGGGTATGCTGCTTGTGTCTTGACAGCAGGAGCATGAACCTGAAGAACGGATCGTTCATGCAAAATCGACCAGTGCCCCCATCCCGGCATCCACATGGTTTCCCAGCCTCGGAAGCGCTGCTGGTAGGGTGGGATACTGTTTCCCACTTTGCTCTCCTTTCTCAAGCAGCTCCTGGGGTCGAGTTCGGCCCCTCCTTCCTGCCGGTGTGTGTGTGTGTGTGTGTGTGTGTGTGTGTGTGTGTGTGTGTGTGAATGAGGGTAAGGAGAGAAGGGGGGGGTGATAGAGCTATGAGACACCAGGAATTGCAGACACAGAAAGAGACCAAAGGCTGGGAGATAGGAGAGATCCCCAGAGCTAGGGGTGAGGGCTCTGAGCTTCCACACACCCTCCAAGTCCTGGGAACAAGAGAGCTTCCAGGCTAGCTCAGAGGCTGCAAGTGTCTGCCTCCCCGAGTGTCGCCTCTCCTTAAGCCACGCCCACATTGCCTACTTGTCAGGAATGAGGGCGCTAAGGTTTAGAGGTCTGAACTACCGACGCCAGCTCACCCCCTCCGCAGAAGCCCCGCCCGTGCTTAGTGTCCCCCCGCCCCCACAATTTGGAGCTCTGCGGGACCCTTTCCTTTCCCCCTCCAGTTGGGTGTACCACCCCTGGCCTATGAAGCCCCACCTCCCCACCTTCTGCTGGCAGGGATTGGCGGACCTCCCGCGGTGGTGCCTAGTGATTGGTCCCCATGGATGATGGTGACTGGCGAGGCCCCGCCTCCAGCCAGGCTGGGGTCTGGGGGCACTGCTCAGCGGTGCTGGGCTGGCGCGGCTTGAGCCGCTGCCGCACTGACAGCTCTGCCTGCGGACCATGGAGACCGGCGCCGGTCTACACCCGCGGCGCCTGGTCGTAAGCCTGATGCCGCTCTGTCTCGCGCTGCTTTTGGGACCCGGGCGGCCCGGGACCGCCGAGGAAGGTGAGGAGACTGGTGGCTGTGCTCGGAGCCTGGGGTGTCAAAAGATAGGGGGCTGTGGTGCTGGGGGAAGGAGTCGCTGGAGAGACTAGAGTCTGTATTGGGGGTTGAAGCAAGCGGGCAGCGGACAGCAGAGAACTGGAGAGACAGAGAAAAAGATGGCTAAGCAATGGGGAAGGGGCGTTGAGGCGTTTAGGGGCTGGAGACCTGGGAGGCTTGGGAAGAAAGAGACCGGGAATCGCGGGAGCCAGCGGCTGTGGTTCAGGGGTCTGTGAGACGGACGGACAGGCTGAGTGATTGGAGGTAGGAGGTGTGGGGGCGGGGAGATGAAGAGAGCAGAGGAGACAGGGAGATGCGGAGGTGAGACCGGAGTAGGTGGGGACGGGACGGAGGCCGAACAGCGGGGGCTGGTGGACACTGTGTGGCTAACAGGAGGCGAAATGCGGTCGAGGCAGCTGGGTCCGGCGCTGTCCGACGTGCTGGTTGTGGAACTGTCCGCATTGCTGAATTCTGAACGCAGTCTTCCCTGCGCGGTCAACCTTGCCGGGTTTGTGGCTGTCGGCGATACCAGAGCCCGCGCCTTGCCTCTAATTCTGCATTTGGGGGAGCTCTACGTTCAGCTGAAACCAGAGGCGTCAGATGCAGGTGCAGAATCCTGAGGAGCTGGAATCTGAGGCGTTGACCGCGGGGTTGGTCCGGGGCACTGGATCGCTGATGCCTTCTAATATGCAATTCAGACGTGCTGTCAGTTGTGCGGAAACCGGCACGCTGTCAGCGGTGTTGCCCACTGTCGCTGACGTCTCTGGAGCCACCCCTTTTCAGAAGTCCTCATCTTGGTGGCCCACCCTCTTGCTTAAGCCCGAGATGAGCCTCTCCCAGTACTAGAGTAAAGATTTTTCAAGATTTGGAGATGGCCTGGCCTCCTGTCTCTGGGCTGCCTGTTCTGCTGTCCAAACCGGTGCTTCTCCGTGACCAATGCTGAGAGGATGCAGACTGCTGATCTGACGACTCCTGGGCGAACAAAGTGACTCCCAGCTTCTCTGTTGTAGGAGGGGTCATGGATTATATATATAAAAGGCCCCTGATATTCTTCCAAAGGCAGTGGAGATGACAGTCCCTGGGAAAGGGACTGGCTGAAGATATGAGAGATTTTTTATTTCGCCTGTTGCTCATAGGCTGTCTCCACTTCGTTTTTCCCAGAGTCCCTGGAGGCCAAACTAAAAAGATTCAAGTATCTGCCATGCCTGGTGAACCCCAGACCTCAGAAGAACTTCTGAGCCTGATTGGATTTGGGGGTGCATACATATGTTATGTTCATTTTCTCCCTCTAATTGACATTGGCTATAATTTTGGGAAACTGGGAAGGCTGGGGAGGGTCACTGACTCACTGCCACCCTCCAGTTTGAGAGCCAGCCTTACAGTATTTGCCATGGACTCTGTGGGAGGCTGAATAATGACCCTTCAGATATGTCCATGTCCTAATCGCCAGAACCTATCAATGTTACCATAAGTGTCAAACAGAACTTCATAGATGTGAATAAGGATCATGAAATGAAGAGATTATCCTAGATTGTTTGGATGGGCCCAATGTAATCACAATGGTCCTTATATGAGGGATGCAGTAGGAGTCCCAGAGGAGAAGGTGATGTAATGATAGAAGCAGAGATTGAAGTGATGTGCTTTGGTGGAGGAGGGTGCCATAAGCCAAGGAAAACAGGCAGCCACTAGAAGCTAAAGAGGGCAAGGAAATGGATTCTCTCCTAAGAACCTCCAGAAGGAACCAGTCCTGCTGACACTTGACTTTCGACTAGTGAAACTGATTTGGGGCTTCTAACCTCCAGAACTGTAAAAGAAAAAAAGTCTGTTGTTTTAAGCCACTAAATTTGTGGTAGTTATAGCAGCCCCAGGAAACTAATACAGGCTCCTTCCCATATCACTGTGGCTACCTCTCTCTGGACTCAAGCTACTCACATGCCCTCCTTGGGACTTATGGAGTGGGAAAAACTTGTTTGGATCCTTTGCCACACTCTTCATCCCCTCAGTTAGCAAACTCACAGTGAATTCACTAAATAATCCCACCCCTCTGCTAAACTGAGCTTCTGGCTTTCTGACATCTTTGTTCTCCCCTCTCTTTAGTCATCCTCTTGGATTCCAAAGCCTCCCAGGCTGAGCTGGGCTGGATTGCACTGCCGAGTAATGGGGTAAGTGTAAAGCTGTCCCTCCCTCTCCCAGGGATCCTCTGACAGTCCAGGACTCAGCCCCTTTAGCTCTCCATGGTTACATCAGATCAAAGTGCTTCTCAGAGTATGTGGCCTCTAGCAGCTTTGCTTCAAGCCAGAGTGGCTTATTAGGAAACGTTGAGTTTTCAGTCAGACAGTCAGGGAAAAAGGAAAAAAAAAAAAAAAAAAAAAAAAAAAAGGATAAGTGAGGAGAGAGCTGGCTGTGTCTAGGAAGAGAAATGTGGGATCTGGATGGAGCTAACGCTGGACTGTGCCTTGCATACAATAGATCCTTCAAGCAGTGTTGTTGACTGTTTGACAGAGCATACAAGACTTAGTGTCTTTTTTTTTTTTTTTAAAGATGACCGGTAAGGGGATCTCAACCCTTGACTTGGTGTTGTCAGCACCACGCTCAGCCAGTGAGCGAACCGGCCATCCCTATATAGGATCCAAACCTGGGGCCTTGGTGTTATCAGCACCACACTCTACCGAGTGAGCCACGGGCCGGCCCAAGACTTAGTGTCTTAAAAGAGGCTTTGGAACTTGGGGTGGGGATGGGGTGATGTAGGGTGTAACAGAAGCTTGGTATAGCGGAAAGGGCACCGGGTGGAGAGTCAGGCGATTCCAGGAACCATTTCTAGCTCTACCACAAACTCGATGCGCATACCTAATCAAGTCGCTCTCCCTCTGGAGCCTCAGTTTCTCCATCCATAAAAATAAGAATTGGACTCATTTGTTTCCACAGTTTTTCCTAGCTCTGCATCTTATAATTTCACGGGTGTGTATGATAGTGGGAGTGGAGGCAGGAGAAGGTGAAATGATAGAGACGGAGGTTTTCAGTCCGAGTCACTGCTAGGGCTCGACCTGGAAGTACCTTGGCTCTGAGCTGTCCACCTCTTTACTCTCGTCCGCAGTGGGAGGAGATCAGCGGCGTGGACGAACACGACCGTCCCATCCGCACATACCAAGTGTGCAATGTTCTGGAGCCCAACCAGGACAACTGGTTGCAGACTGGCTGGATCAGCCGTGGCCGCGGGCAGCGCATCTTCGTGGAGCTGCAGTTCACGCTGCGCGACTGCAGCAGCATCCCCGGCGCCGCGGGCACCTGCAAGGAGACCTTCAATGTCTACTACCTGGAAACCGAGGCCGACTTGGGCCGTGGGCGTCCCCACCTAGGCGGCAACCTGCCTCGCAAAATTGACACGATCGCGGCGGACGAGAGCTTCACTCAGGGCGACCTGGGCGAGCGCAAGATGAAACTAAACACAGAGGTGCGAGAGATCGGCCCGCTCAGCCGGCGGGGTTTCCACCTGGCCTTCCAGGATGTGGGCGCGTGCGTGGCGCTGGTCTCTGTGCGCGTCTACTACAAGCAGTGCCGTGCCACTGTGCGGGGCCTGGCGGCGTTCCCAGCCACCGCGGCCGAGAGTGCCTTCTCTACACTGGTGGAAGTGGCCGGAACGTGCGTGGCGCACTCGGAAGGGGAGCCCGGTAGCCCCCCGCGCATGCACTGCGGCGCCGACGGTGAGTGGCTGGTGCCCGTGGGCCGCTGCAGCTGCAGCGCGGGATTCCAGGAGCGTGGCGACATCTGCGAAGGTATCCAGAGTACTGGGGGGTGCAGGCTGGGAGTATAGCGCCCACGTGGCAATTGGAAGAGTGTGCCGGAAATGAAAGAAGCAGGAGGGGGAGTGGAGAAGCTGCTTCCAGTGGGTTCAATTAGTAGGTGAATTTCGCTCCACATAAAGGGGCATTAGAGACCTCTATCTCAGGCACTATGACAAGCACCTCACACAGGTCTTCTCACCTATTTTCGCGTTGATAAAATACGTCATCCGGGCTGGCTGGGTAGCTCACTTAGTTAGAGCATGGAGCTGATAACACCAGGGTCAACGGTTGGGAGCCCCATACCGGCCAGCCATAAAATAAATAAATAAAATAAAATACATCATCATTATCCCTGTTTCACAGATGAGGAAACAGAGACTCTGAGAGATTAATACTTCACTTGCAGTTAGGAAATGGGGAGCCAAGATTTGAATCCAGGTTTGCCCAACTCTCAAGTGCTTTCTACTGCACCATGCTGCCTTCCCTATACACGAGGAAGAACCCTACAGCAACCCAAGCTTCGATCTAGTGGGATTGGTTGCATTATTGAACACATGCAAGTCAGAGGCTGGCGGGGGGATTTTTGAGTGTGTGGGGGGAGAGAGAAAGAGAG